ATATACGTTTTTCAAAGGTAGGATCACTCGAATTTATTCTTCTCAAAGTTCAAACAATTGAAATTCATCTACTAAAAAAAGTGCATGCATGCCTTTAAACAAAGCCCCCAGGGGCATTTATTTAAAAAGTGTGAGTGTAAGATCTATAAGAAGATAAAAGTGTTATCTTGAGTTTTTTTTAATACCTAATTCATTTTTTGAAATTTAATCTAATCCTTAATTGTAAACTATAAATATGAATATTTAAAGAAACTAGAGCTTTTATTCAACCTCGCTCTACATTGTGACATTGAGTAAAATAAATTATTTTACTCAATGATTGTATTCAGTTGTAGTGAATAAAAGTGTTATGTTTCAATTTTATTATGTATGCACATTTTACAAATTAAAAGTCCTTAAATCAATAAAAGAGATAAGAAAGACGAGAAGCCAAGAGAAGGAATTAAAGTTGATAAACCACCCAACAAATCTTCTGTTAGTGGACAAGTTGTAAGAGAAAAATATAAAACTCGAATAAATTCTAATAATTCTAAATAATTTTTACGAAGCCCAATACTATTTTTAAATTTCTTTGGGCCAGATTGTATTGATTTTAGTTACTATTGTATATATATTTTTATGGTGTCATTTATCATAAAATCAGATCATATTTTTGTGTATTTAAAAAAGTAAAAATGGATTCATATTTGCGCGACTTTGAGATATTTATATTAGAACAAGTATTACAAATTAAAAATTTAAAAAAACCGACTTCAAAAACGTACAGATGCCACATCTTAACCAAATTTATATGGTAACGAAAATATATTAATTACTGCTTGTTATTGATCACCATCATCTAACGCTGATGATTTCTTACAAATTTTACAAGAATATTTTGAAGAAAATCAGTTAAAAAAATACGAATACAGCATTTTTCTTGGAGATATAAATATAAACATTTTAGAAAATAATTACAAAAAAACGGAGTACTTGAATATACTAAATGAATTTGGATAAACAAACCTACTAGACAAAAAACATTTTTCTTAAACCAAAAAAATATGTCGATTGATATGACCATCCCAATAATATTTAAATCAAACATTACCGATCATCATTCAATTATTCTGCAAGTTGAGGATGAAAGAAAAAAAAATCAATTATTACAAAATATAAAGAATTCATAGATTACCCTAAACTTATAGAATTATTTAAGAACAATTCGTGGGACTCCATTTTCACACTAGAGGACCCAAATATTTCAGCAAATAATTTTATTACGGAAATTCAAACAATGATAAAACAAAACATTGCACTACAAAAAAATTATGTACACAAAAAAACACCATGGCTCACAAATAGCCTATTAAAATTAATTAATAAAAAGAATAAAATGTATAAAAAAACGATTCTACATCCTAAAAATATTTTATTAAAAGATGAATATACGTCAATCAAAAATAAACTTACAAATGAATTAAAGAGAAATAAACAAAATTATTATAAAAAACAACTTGAAAAAAATAAAAATAATTCAAAATATTTGTGGAACACGGTACAAGGACTTTGCGGAAGGAAAACTAAAAAATGTAATATTGAAAAAATTAACGATACTGGAGTTTTATTAACTACTAACGTGCAGATAGCTAACGAATTTAATAAACAATTTGTCAACTTCGGGAAAACACTTGCAGAAAAAATTGAAAAAGACGCTAAGTATAAATAGACCAGAGCATACTGGCGCATTCGTTTGCAAAATTGTTTTAATTCGTAATTTTTTTTTAATATCCGGAAGGCTTGCCTAATTATAAAAGTGTAAGATGACACTCGATATTTGTTGATGTTATTGTTTAAACAACGAAAAATTAATTAAGCCAGAAAAAATGCATTTTTTTGCAATGAATTAATTTTTTTTATATTCTTTAGGATATTGCGAATAAAAAAAATCCTTACGCCCATCATCGTATCTTCAACCCTTTAATTGTTATGAATTTTTTAAAATCCAAAATTGACGAAAATTCTAATTTTCTTGAATTAAATAATATACATTAAAATTTAAAATGCTATAATTTTAAATTTTTTACCGAATATTCAAACTATAATAAACAAAATTACCTAAATACATTTTCAAAATTTTGTTTATGTTTTTTTTTACGTTATCTTATGCTTCCTACGCGCCACGATGCCACGAAAAAGATTGTTCACTAGTATTTTCATTAAACAACAAATTAAATCGCACAGCACGTTAACGTACAATTTTTTCAAAATACGAAATAAGTCCCTTTGCCTATTTCTATTCATAGTGAAAAAGATTGAAAATCATAAAAAAAATTCATATTTATAGTACTCTCAATATTAGAAAAAAAAAATGTTTTCCTTATTTTTGTTAAATGGAGAAAGGCTTGGATATTTTTGAAATCATAAAATTTTATAACCCCAGTAAGCCTACTATATTCATTGTAACAGGTAGAAAATTTTTCACGGATCACGACAAGTGCATTTGGCCTTTTTATCGTATTGAAAAAAAAAATCTGATGTGTCCAACACATGACTTTCCTATCTAGTTATATAAATGTTTAGAGGATAAACTAAATATATACATTGTCCACATACATCTACCTCGAAACATTTTTCTATAGATATTCATGGAAAACGAAAATACTGAAAAATTTTAATTTCCTACAATTTTTTCATTACGGTCCATTTTAGAAAAATCATGTATAAACAAAAATTATAGAGATCGATATCGCAAACAACTTTTATTTCAAAAACTTTCATAATAAAAATCAGAATTTTGCACATTTTGTCAAATTTCTCGAATACGGACCATTTCAGGAAATTTTTACATAAAACAAAAATTACAGATAATAATATTAGAAGTAACTTTTATTTGAACAATTTTCCTCTCCAAACATAAATAACAGATATATTTCATAAAATATAAAAACGGCCTCCCATAAAGTACCCCCCCAGATGTTCCGACTTTGTCCAAAATCTAATCATTTCACGTCAGGCCGAAATAAACCTTAAGTTTAAAATTTAATGTTTTTTTCTTTATCCGTTTTTGAGTTTTCTTCAAAATTCGAAATTTACACATTTTCTCAAATATCTCGAATACGGTCCATTTTAGAGAAATTATGTAGAGAATAAAAATTATAGAGAATTATATTACAAACAACTTTTATTTGAACAATTTTAATAAAAAAATATTTTTTTTACATTTTGTCAAATTTCTCGAATACGGACCATTTTAGGAAAATTTTGTATAGAACAAAAATTATAGATAATACTATTAGAAGTAACTTTTATTTAAAAAATTTTCTTCTCCAAACGTAAATAACAGATATATTCCATAAAATATAAAAATGACCACCTATAAAGTACCCCCCCAAATGTTCCGACTCTGCCCAAAATCTAATCAGCTCATTAGACGCTGAAACAAAGCTTAAGTTTAAAATTTGGTGTTTTTCTGTGTATCGGTTCATGAGTTATGCGTTATACAGACACACACACACACACACACACACAGACATCATCGCGAAAATAGTCAAAACGGATTCAGGGGACCTCAAAACGTAAAAATCCGTCGAAAACTCGAGGTCGAAAAAAATCATGATTCCTATACTTTCCTTATATCTGTATACAGATAGGAAAGTAAAAAGGTTGAAGAAGATTTTACTTCTCAGGCAGTATCTGACAATAATTTTTTCATGAATAAAAATAAATGTTTCTGTTAACTTTAATAAATTTATCAAAAAAAGTTATCAAAAGTATCTAAAAAGTTAAAAAAAATCACATGATACAAAACTATTAATCGGTAAATATAACAAAATGTTATGAAAAATGTTAATAATAATTTTTTTAAACTTATTACCTCTGAAAAACAGCAAAAAATTGATTCAGCGCGTCATCGGGCTTTCTCTTACCCATCTTATACATTGAGTTGGAAGTGCACGCAAAGTACACGCGCGTAGGAAGCATATTGTAATAACGTAAAAAAAAACATAACAACAAACAAAATTTTGAAAATTTATTTAGGTTATTTTGTTTATTATAGTTTGAATATTCGGTAAAAAACTTTATTTATATTTTGTATACACGTTTTTTCTTTATTTTATTGTACTCCATTTATAAATAAAGTTTCTATTATATAATTAATCAATAAAAGGGTTATAATATAAAGAATATTTAAAAAGTTCCAGATCAAAACGATTTTCTGCCTTTTGTGCTACCTACAAATGACATCTACTTACAATTTGTCTTTCATCAACAAATTTATGTATTTTTAGACTTCAGCAACTTATTTTTAAAAGCTGCCTAATGTAATAATAATTCCTATTTCAAATTAAAGCTCCTCTAAAGCAAAATATTTATGAAAAGTATAATTGGAACTAGAATTATTGAAATTTTCAATGGAATTATTGGAATTGCTTAATTTTTATTGGAATTGTTAGAATTTTTGGAATCGGTGTATAAGATTTCGAACCATGGTTGACCCCTCAGAATAAATACCACATAAGAATACCTACATAAACCATATTGCCAGATATTAAAAGTGCTTACATTTTTGATATGGGATACTGACAATAAATATTTCAATGCATGGAGCACAGTTGGTTGCATACTTGCAAACAAAAAAGTAAATTGTAAAATTTTTTAACATAACATGTCTTGCTGTATCAACAACAATATGTCAATATTTTGCTTTATGTCTTGTGGAAAGGAAAGAAATTATATTAAAAGTTAGGTTAAAACAGGAAAATTTGCTAATGAAACATAATTCTCTGTATTTTAATTTGAACTAAAATCGAGGTTAAAACATTATAAAAAGTAAATTACTTCAATAGAATAGTAATAAATCTTTCGAGATTGCACCTTCAGATAATAGGATGAGACCTGCAAATTAATAGGCTACAAGTAGGTATGCTTAGTTATTTTGAGAACCAAAAGTGAGGAAACTAGATAATGACCAATCTTATTTTAACCTCAATTTTAAGACACTACTTAATCTCACTTACTTTTTTGACTACAGCTCTTAGAAACATCTTCAGTTCTGCTACAAGATGGTGTCAAATAGTCTGTATGATCATTAGTTTCACTTTTCAAAGTTGGTAAATCAAAATGTGAAGTCAAAAGTTCACTATCATTTTTAAATTCAATATATTCACAATCCTCTTGCTTTATATTACTATCACTGATATCTGCCGTTTCAATTTTTGTAGTGTTTTCAAGTTCTTGTTTAACATTAGTTGTAGGAATAACAAATTGTTTAGCCACTAAATCATGGTCAATATTTGATAGAAATTTCGAACTTTGTTCAATTTTAGGCACTTCACATTCGATAATGTCTTGTTTAAATTCATCAACACTTATCAATTGTCCCGCTAGTTCTCGAGATTCAATAATACTGACCTCATCAACCAGCTCATTTTCATCGTCGGTTCTAAACTTTTCTGGTTTTATAGATCGTGAATTGTTTTCATCTGCTTCGGTTTTAATGTCATGTTCATAAATTTCGCAGTATTCTTCTTTCACGTCCATCCTTTTACAATTATTGTAAGAACGATTACTAAATAACAAAATGCACACAAAATCGCAGGGATTATGAATGTTAATATTTGTTTATCCTGGAGCATCAAATAAAAAGTAGATTGATCAAAATAAAGATTTTGGTTTTCCATTTTCAACTGTCATACAGTCGTGCTGTCAACATAATATGACATATGACAGAAATAGCTAGGCATTTTTTAGTGAAGTTCGGATAGCCAAGTTCCATTTACTCCAAACGACCCTTTACGTGTTCGGTTCAATGAACTGGAGGGGGGTAGAATGCCAATGTACAGGCTCTATCAAGCTAGCGGGCACTCTGTGGCGGCACCATACAAGACCTGGTGGGTTTTTTGTAGCTTTTTCGTAGCTTTTTTGTTACGCTATTTGCGAATTTGTAGCTTTGCCTAGGTCCGAAAAAACAGCGGATCCGCTAGCTTGAATTTCCATAAATTCCATAGTAGCGGCACAGATTCAGACCCAGCTGGTTTTTCGTAACTTTTTTGTAGCTTTTTTGTTACGCTAGTCTCCTTTTTGTAGCTTGTACTGAACCTGAGAAAAGCGCGGATCCGCTAGCTTAGCGGATATTTGTAGCGGCACCAGCTCGGACCAGGCTCATTTTTTGTAACTTTTTTGTAGCTTTTTTGTTACGCGTGTCTCCATTTCGTTACGAGGCCTGAACGTGAGTAATAATCGTTTCTCCATGAGCGCGAGAAAAAAGTGCGTTAATTTAAAATCAAGTTTTGGCCTCTACAAGTAATATGTGCAACTCGATAGTGTGACTATCTGTTAATAGATGGCACCAGTATTGCATTTCATGAATTATGGCCATCTTCCATCCAATATATTTTTGAGAAATTTAGATATAATATGGATATAATCTCAAAATCGGAAATTTGTTTTTAAATGTTTTTTAGTGTTGTTTATGTATTTATACTTCTGTTGAATCAAGAATATTCTTACATCTTTTTTGAATGATTTCCTTAACCAATCGTTTTGCAGTATTTATGGACCAGTGTTCAATTCTGTCGGATCACAACTATACAGTGTGTTCCATCTCAGACGAGCCACCCCGTATATTTCTTATCCCATAGTAATTGGAAAAATTTCCCGAAACATGTCGGATGATTTTCTTTGGGGGACATCTTTTGACGTATATTTGAGGCTTGAACCAGCAACCCCCTATGAGGGGGCGCTTCAACCCCTCAAAATGGAATAGCGAGGGAAGAAGGCTTGAGTGATACATCATTTGTAAGGTCTTGAAAGCCTCTTTACAACGGTGTATGAAAAAAATCACATTCTTAAAAAAAATTAATTGTTTTATCACATGAAATGATCAAAGAAACGTGATAAACACCTTCTAAGAACAAAAAATAAAGGTAAGATAAGAAAATGTTTTGATTTTTTTTTATTTATTAGTTCGAGAGAATTTATTATTGCATGGAAGTCAATGGAAGACAAATTGAACATTTCATTTAAAGCAGTTTTGCTTTTTTTGATTGTAAGCATGATAAAACAATTGATTTTTTTTAAGAATGTGATTTTTTCATACACCGTTGTAAAGAGGCTTACAAATGAAGTATCACCCAACCCCTCTCTTCCCTATTCAATTTTGAGGGGTTGAAGCGCCCCCTTATAGGGGGTTGTTAGTTCAAGCCTCAAATATACGTCAAAAGATGTCCCCCAAAGAAAATCATCAGGGGCCCTATTCTCCAACTGTGGGATGTGAAGTGTCCTATCACCAATTTGTTCTCTCGGTAATCGTATTCGGTATTCTTGAATCATTCACATCGCATAGGTTCACGGAGCACCGCTGCCAAATTTAAGTTGTGCGTTAGAACTATTTTAGAAGGCACTTAAATTTTTTATTATTTTTTGACAATTGTAATAACAGATTATATTTTCCATTATTTTCTATTAAATCCCGTGCCAAAGGTTTACTTAGTCTTAGTCGAACGTTTTTTATGAATATTCGGTCACTAAAGTCAAAAGGATCTTCTTTTCTTAACAAAATTATATTTGGTCGATTGGCATCTTCTTCCGCTTCAGCTATATAATTCAAAATATGAATATAAATATGAGCTTCGTCCAAATCCATTTTAATTAAAAAAAGTGACGTTTTGATAGCGCACGACAATGACAGTTCTCCCAATGTTCTCCCGAAATGATGCTCTTCTACCTTCTACTGGTTTTGACTAAGAGAAGTATGTTCTCTCGATTTTCATGTGAAGTGATCATTCACTTCAATTCAAGAATACCACTCACACACTTTTTAGGAGAACGGCTGTCCAGTTCGCATAAAATGATCATTCTCTCAACTGAAGAATAGGCCCCCAGGAGAATAGGCCCCCAGACGTGTTTCGGGAAAGTTTTCCAATTACTATACGTGTGTCTTTTTTTCCACCGGTCTGTTGGAATCGTTTTTTCGCCGATGCGGCCTTGAACGCCTTTTGTTGGATTCGATTTATTTACGGTTGACCGTTGAAATAAATAACAGTTGACATTTTGGATTAAAATTTGTGTTTATAATTTTATTTAAATGTACCTATTTACTTTGATTTGGACGCATATATATTTTTAAAATCTCATTTTTTCGGTTTTCCCACAAAAAACAATTAGGCATTCCAACGACCTGTCGAACAATAGGTGCCAGTGGGAAATTCTTGTATATTTAAGGGGGTAGCGACATAGTCTTGCAACTTGGACGCTATTTTTATTCGAAGTAGTACTCGCCAAGCCTGCCAATTTATGAAGAAATGTATAGGTGGGATTTTTAAATATTATTTTTATTATGTTTGACACAAAATATTTAAATGTAATCCATTATTCATGATTTTACGTAAAGTAGAAAGAATACACCATATGTCGCCACCCTTAGATATACCAAACCTGCCCACTGGTAATTCATTTGTTTGGAATGCCTAATTAAATAATTAATTAACTCCTTAATTCTGATTAATTTTCGCAATCCATAGCTGTCAGTTGTCAGAAAAATCTAATCAGAAAAACCATATATTAGGTTCTTTCGTTCGCTATTGGTGTAGTGTCGTCCACCAGTGTAAATTACACCAGTTACACCACCTTATTTACCCTAATTTACTTCCTCCCTATTCCTTATACACATCGTCGAGTGTAATTCACTCCTGCTAAATAGCTGGTGGAGAAAATATCCACCAGTGTACACCACATCGCCGACAGGAAGGTATAGTTGGTTTTACACCGGACCAAACGAAAGGTATGGGTGTGGGTTGGTGTAGTTCATTTCTACACCCAACTACACCAGTGGGACGAACGAAAGAACCTATTGAAATGATGGAATGGTGTTGCATCGATTGCATCAACGTTAGATAAAAAGACAGCATCATTGATAGATTGATGAAATAAAAGACAGGTAGATACCGCACCGATGCCAACGTTGCTGCAACAGTTGGATAAAAAGACACACGTTATGGGATAAGAACTATACGGGGTGGCTCGTCTGAGATGGAACACTCTGTATATAGTGAGAATAGGTAATTGCTTGGTAGTGGCGTCCGGCATACAACTATTTTAATAATCTTGTCAATATGTATTTTACATTAATATCGGACAAATAATTAATATACATACCGTTGAAAATGTCCGATTTTGAGATTATATCTAAATTTCTCAAAAATATATTGGATGAAAGATGGCCATAATTCGTAAAATGCAATACTGGTGCCATCTAGTAACAGATAGTCACACTATCGAGTTGCACATATTACTTGTAGAGGCCAAAACTTGATTTTAAATTAACGCACTTTTCTCTCACGCTCATGGGGAAACGATTATTACTCCCGTTCAGGCCTCGCAACGAAATCGAGACAGGCGTAACAAAAAAGCTACAAAAAATGAGGCGGGTTCGGCTGGTGCCGCTACAAATATCCGCTAAGCTAGCGGATCCGCGCTTTTCTCAGGTTCAGTACAAGCTACAAAAGGGAGACTAGCGTAACAAAAAAGCTACAAAAAAGTTACGAAAAACCAGCTGGGTCTGAATCTGTGCCGCTACTATGGAATTTATGGAAATTCAAGCTAGCGGATCCGCTGTTTTTTCGGACCTGGGCAAAGCTACAAATTCGCAAATAGCGTAACAAAAAAGCTACAAAAAACCCACCAGGTCTTGTATGGTGCCGCCACAGAGTGCCCGCTAGCTTGATATAGCCCAATGTACATGTTGTACTATTAGAACAAGGTGCGACTCGATGGGCGCAGCCATTTTTATTGTGTATCTCACTCAGGACTATTTATAATAACCATTTTCTGTTTCACATTGTTATTGTTCAATCCACAAGCTGGTGGATCAGACAATAACAATGTGAAATAGAAAATGGTTATTTTTTACAAAATAAAACGGGGGTAGTATGGGCCAAAATATGCAGAAAAGTCTTAATAAACATATGTCCGCAAATGAATGGTTTCAGAGATACGGAGTGTTTTGTATCATTTTTTGATTATCTTTTTTCATTCTCAAAAACTTGCTTTTCTTATCGGAGTCTACCGATGTTTTTTCATAGATACTATTTGCAGTTATTATTTTGTTGTGGGTGAATAATTTTATAAATTTTCGTTATGCCTGTTTACACTAATATTGAATTAGCTGACATGCATTTTATGTACGGTCGTGCAAATGGCAATGCGAGGGAAGCGCTACGTCAGTATTTGAACATCTCATTTAACTCTATGTTGTTATTGATTGTTTATAAATATCATTGTTTTTTTATAATAAAAAATTGTTATAAACACAAAATGGTCCGTATCTCCGAAACCGTTAATTTGCGGCCATATATTTATTAAGACTTTTCTGCTTATTTTGGGTCATACTATTCACCATTTCATTTTGTGACACGGGCTCCAGCAATGACAGGACGTCATAAGGGTTTCATAGCGCATTTGAAACAAGAAGTAGCAAATGTACATGAACTACTAATTAGGTACCTGTAATTTTCTCATTTTTCATGAAAAAATTAATCTGAAACTTGTGAAAAGGAAAATAAAACAAAAAAATATTTTTACATATAATACAATAAATATATTTACAAATATGTATGCATAAATATACTTATAAATAAATTTAATATGTGGTATACAGTCAGTGGAATCAAAATTACCTCACACTAGTGTCAAGAAATGGCCGG